TTCGAGATACTTGATAGAGTCGGAAATGTGGCTTACCGACTAGCTTTGCCACCTGAATTATCAGCAGTGCACAATGTGTTCCATATATCGATGATAAAGAAGTATGTACATGATCCTAATCATGTAGTGAGTTATCAAACCTTGGAGGTATAAAAAGATTTGTTGTAAGAGGAACTACCGATCAAGATATTGGATCGAAAAGTGCATAAACTAAGGAATAAAGAGATCAGCTGGTTAAAATACAGTGAAATCATCACGGCGTAGAAAAAGCCACTTGGGAAAAAGAAGAAGAAGCCAATGACAAGTATCCAACACTATTCACCCAATCAGAAGGTAAATTTTGAGGACAAAATTTTAATTAAGGTGTGGGGGATGTAGAACACCAAATAATTCTAGACACCTTAGTGGTACTAAGACATGAATATTGGATGACTAAAGTATACTTCAAATTTTTAGTCTCATTTGAGACCCATTTTCGACATAGATAACATTCGATTTGGAAAATGATATCTAAATAAAAGTTGTAGCTCTTTGAGTTAGATTTCCAACGCAATTTGAATTACCTCAATTGGATATCAGGAGAAGAAGTTATGATGGAAACACTGAAGGCTGTGCAGTGTCAACCGGACTACAACCGGTCAACCGAAACTGCCTGAAATGAAAATTCTCGTTTTTCTCTAGAATTTAAATATTTATTTTCATCAATTATTTTCTCAAAGGGCCACCCACATTTTTGGCCATAAAAACCCCACTAAATTGAAGCATTTAACCTCAAATTCAAATGGCACCCATGTTTTCTCTCTTAAATGAAATTTGACCCTTCATTTGCTTTAAGTTATGGAATATTTACCTATAAATAGAGACCTCATTTCACTCATTTTTTCTCACACCAAAAGCAAGAGCTTTTACATGGTAAAGAAAGAGTTTTCAAGAGAGAAAAAGAAAGGCAGGAAAACTATTTTTCCTAGAAGTTTAAGAAGTGTTTCCAAGCATCAATTCTCAACAGTTTTCAAACATCCAAGGAGTGCATTTCTTTCAACGTCCAAGTTTCATTGAAGTTTTCAATTGAAGTTTTCAAAGTTTCAAAAGCATCAATCAAAGTGGGTAGATGTGCAATGTGTTTAATCGTGTTAAGTTATAAGTTTCGATTCATGTTAATGTTTGTATGTCAAATGGTACTTCAGTACGTCATATCCCTCTATGTTAATGGTTGTATGTCAAATGGTACTCCGGTACGGGATATCCCTCTATGTTGAAGAAATGTTCGTATGTCAAATTGTGCCCTCGGGTACGACATATCCCTTCATGTCAAATGGTGCCTCCGGGAACGGCATGTATGAAAAGTTATAAAGTTAATGTTTTGAAATGTATAGCTTGATTACGAATGCACCTATGACAGCTATTGAGTTTTTCAACTCACGGGTTTAATCCCATCTCTACAGATTGAAGGAATTTTATCTCGGGCATGGATGGAGGAGAAGATGGAGAGTGATGCAATGAGCCCATGGAAATTCGGTGAATAAGTGATTTGGATTTATTTTTATGAAATGTTTTCCAATGTTATTTCTTTAAAGTTTTGAATAACGCAGAATGCGAGAACAAGTTATGTTTTCTTCAAATAAATTACATTTTATTGTTTTGAAAAATGATTTAGTGTTTTTGTTTAAAGTATTTGAAGTATTGTTATTTAAATTATTATCCAAAGATGTAAGCTCCTTCTAAAATGTATACACTTGTTACTAAACCACCAGTTAAGCTAAGTAAAGTAAGTAGCGTTCCAGTCCACTACGGGTCGGGGCATTACAATGGGGAAACATGGAGTCATGGTTAGGGATGAGATGCTAGAAGGTAACCCTCCAGAGTACCCAAATGCAATTGAATTCGATATATATTGTCAGATCCTTCTAGACAGGTGGAGTAAGAGCTTAGAACCTTAACCGGAGATAGTAATTGAGCCTAAGCCCGAGCCTCAATACCTCGGACTAGAACACTGGAGTAGCAATTGGCGTTAACATGGGAACAATTTAAAGAGGAAGTAATAGACAGGCATTTTCCTCAGTCTCTAAGAGATTTCAAGGAAAGCAAATTCCTTTAACTCAAACAGGGTAATGTCCTTGACTGATTACGAATGAAAGTTCATCAACTTTCAAGATATGCTCCACACCTGGTTGACATGAAAATTAAGAAGACTATAAGGTTCGACCAAGGGTTAAACCCAGACCTAAGCATGATCCTTATGTCACATCGTTTCACATCATATCGTGAGATGTTGGAACGAGCTCATGCTATTTGGTATCAGAAGGCTAATGTGGAGTAACACCATCAATTGTACAACCAGTAAGATAAAGGGCATATTGGAAAGAGGAAGTGGAATGGTCATGACAAAGGAAAGGGCAAATGGCAAAACAAGAAGGCTAACATCGGATCTAGTGCCAGCAAGGCCATAGTAGCTACAGTTGCACCTTGTCTGAAGTGTGGTAAACCTCATCGTGGTGAATGCTTGTATGGGAAGAATGCCTATTTTCGGTGCAGTAAGCTAGGACATATTGCTAAGGATTATCCTATGTTCACTCAAAAGAAGGATGATAACAGTGATCAGAACAAAAAGGAAAAAGCATGAGTCTTTACACTGACTCAGAAGGATGCAGAGGAAACCTCAAACATAATAATACGTATTTTATTGATATTCAATACACCAGCTTACGTACTATTTGATTTGGGAGCTACTCACTCTTTTGTATCAATGTCTTTCATTGCTAAATCTAGTATTACTTGTGAGAAGTCAGAAAGTACACTAGAAGTTAGTCTCCCCTCAGGTAGAACATTAAATACAGATCATTTAGCTAGGTCAGTAAATCTTGAAATCGAAGGAAAAACATTAGAAGCTAATTTGTATCTGATAGAGATGAAAGACTTCGATGTGATTTTGAGCATAGATTGGTTGAGATGTAATTATGAAACCATTCGTTGTAGAGAGAGGGAAGTGTCTTTTCAAAAACCAAGAGAAGAGCAATTCTCTTTCCTCGGAATAAAGACCAAACCCCATCTCCAACTTATATCGGCCTTGCAAGCTGAAAAAATGATGAGAAAAGAAACGTACCAAGGGTTTCTAGTTAATATCTCAGGAGAAAACAGACGACAATAAAGATTGAGGACGTACAAGTGGTACGAGAGTTTATAAATGTATTTCTAGAAGAACTTCCTGGTACTCCACCAGATAGACATGTGGAGTTCACAATAGATCTGGTTCCCGGAGTGGCACCAGTATCTAAAGCTCCATACAGAATGGCTCCAAAGGAACTTCAGGAGCTAAATTTTCAATTACAAGAATTGTTGGATTGTGGCTTTATTTGACCAAGTGTGTCTCCATAGGGTGCACCAGTATTGTTTGTAAATAAGAAAGATGGAAGTATGAGGATGTGTATTGACTATCGAAAGTTGAACCGTTTAACCATCAAGAATAAATATCCTCTCCCGAGAATCGAGGATTTATTTGACCAATTGAAAGGGGCTAAGGTATTTTCCAAGATCGACTTATGATCTGGATACCATCAGTTGAAGGTTAAGGCAAGTGATATACCCAAGACAGCTTTTTGAACTGGTTATGGACATTACGAGTTCACAGTTATGCCGTTCGGGTTAACAAATGCTCCGGCAGTGTTCATGAATTTAATGAATCGTGTATTTCATTAGTATTTGGATCAATTTATCATAGTCTTCATTGATGACATCTTGATATACTCCAAGAGTACAGATCAACATGAAGAGCATCTTAGAATGGTGTTAGAAACACTGCGTAAGGAAAGGTTATACGCCAAATTTAAAAAGTGTGAATTTTGGCTTGAACAAGTTGGATTCCTCTATCACGTAGTTACTACCCAAGAAATTAAGGTGGATCTAATAAAAGTGGAAACAGTAACTAACTGGAATACACCAACTAACGTGGGTGAAGTTCGAAGTTTTCTGGGATTGGCTGGGGTACTATCGGAGATTTATAGGAAGATTCTCCAAAACAGTTGGACCAATGACACAATTGACAAGGAAATGAGTAAAGTTTTAATGGACAAATAAGTGTGCGCAGAGCTTTCAGGAGCTAAAACGACAATTGATTTCAGCACCCATGTTAGCTACACCCAAAGGTTCGGAAGGATTTGTTATATATAGTGATGCATCCAAACAAGGTTTAGGATGTGTACTGATGCAGTATGAAAAAGTGATTGCCTATATATCAAGGCAATTGAAGCAACATGAACTGAACTACCCGACGCTTGATCTAGAACTTGCTGCAGTAGTGCATGCTTTAAACATATGGCACCATTACTCATATGGAGAAAAGTGCGACATTTACACAGATCATAAAAGTCTCAAATATTTCTTCACAAAGAAGGAATTGAATATGAGACAGAGATGATGGTTGGAACGTTTATAAATGATTATCATTGTACTATCCATTACTATCCTGGTAAGGCTAATGTTGTTGTCAATGTGCTAAGTAGAAGGTTAGTGGGATGATTGGCGTCATTGCCTACTACTCAGTTGGCGTTGATCAAGGACTTGGAGAATTTACAAATTGAAATGGTTGCCAGACCAGAGCAAGTCACCACCAGTTTAGCAACTTTGGTGGTTCGACCTACTCTTAGAGATCGGATCATTGAGGCATAAGGTAAGGACCCATTCTTGCAAAAGATCAAGAACGAGATTGATACTGATAAGAGAAAGGACTTTAGAATAGCTTTGGCTAGGGCTCTGATGTTTAAAGGAAGGATTTGTATACCTAAGGATGAAGTTTTGAGGAAGGAGATATTGGAGGAGGCTCATATCACTCCATACACTGCACATCTTGGCGTTACGAAAATGTATCGAGACCTTCGAGATACATTTTGGTGGAGGAATATGAAAAGAAGTATAGGTCTATTTGTGGCAAAATGCATTGTGTGTCAACAAGTTAAAGCAGAACATCAAAGACCGGCAAGGTTGTTAAATCCATTGGATATACCAGAATGGAAGTGGGAGAATATCGCAATGGACTTTGCGGATTTCTGAGATCAGCAGGAGGGCACAATGCTATATGGGTAATAGTGGACCGTCTAACGAAGTCCACTCATTTTCTTCTGGTGAAAATGACATTCAATGTAGATCAGTTGGCACGGTTGTACATTAAAGAGATCGTAAGATTGCATGGTACTCCTGTATCCATTGTGTCTGACAGAGATCTGAGATTTACATCTAAGTTTTGGAAGAGCTTGCAAGTGACTATGGGAACGAAATTGAATTTCAGTATGGCATCTTACCCTTAATCCGATGGTCAATCTAAAAGAACCATTCAGACTTTAGAAGATATTTTAAGAGCCTGTGTTTTGGATCTAGGAGGCAATTGGGAATCGTATTTACCTTTGGTGGAATTTACATATAATAACAGTTTCCAAGCAACTATTCAAATGGCATCGTATGAAGCTCTTTATGGTAAAAGATGTAGATGACCTGTTCATTGGGATGAAGTCGGAGAAAAGAGAGTTTTGGGACCAGAGATTATTGAAAGGACAGTCGAAGCCGTTGATAAGATCCGCACTAGGATAAAGGTAGCGCAAGATAGAAAAAAGAGCTATGCAGATATCAGATGAAAGGACTTGGAGTTTCAAGTTGGAGATAAAGTCTTTTTAAAAGTGGCACCAATAAAGGATGTACTTAGGTTTGGCAAGAAAGGCAACCTATGACCTCGTTATATCGGACCTTTTGAAATACTTGATAGGGTCGGAAGTATGGCTTATCGATTAGCTTTATCGCCTGAACTATCAGCAGTTCACAACGTATTTCACATATCGATGATCAAGAAGTATATGCATGATCCTGATCACATGGTCAATTATCAATCCCTAGATGTACGTAAAGATTTATCTTATGAGGAATTACCAATTAGAATACTGGATCGAAGGGTACATAAATTACAGAACAATGAGATTCAACTGGTCAAGGTGTAATGGAATAAGCATGGAGTCAAAGAAGCTACTTGGGAAGAAGAAGTTAAAGACAAATATCCGACACTCTTTGCCAATCCATAAGGTAAATTTCGAGGATGAAATTTTGTTTAAGGTGTAAGGGATGCAGAAGCTCGAGAAATAAAATGAAATTAGGCTATTATGTTGTGATGATCTAGCACCACGAGCCCATCTCATTCAAGAAACGAGTTGTGAAAGCTTAAACCATTTAAGATTTTGAAAGCCCAAGCCATAAATTAACTAAGCCCAACAATTTAAGAGATCAAGTTTAAGTAAATTTGATTACAAAGATTTAATGAATAACTGGGTTGCCCCAATGGTCATCTACATGGTATTTCATATAGGCAACCCGGGTTTGAATCACCATGTAGATGTTTTTATAAAACTTTTTTATGAATTTTTTTAGGCTTAAAAACTCTTCAAATTCTTAGTTAAAGGTTCAATTTAACAAACTTTATGATAATACAACTCCCCCCATTTAGTTTTTCATTAAAAAGAAAGGTTACAAGAAGTGGAAGGTCACTTTTTCACTACATCCTTCCTTAAATCCGAATTTCATCTTATTTTCTCTCAAAAAAAAATATATTTTATGTCAATTTAAGCTAAGGGAATAACAAGGGTGAGAAGAAGAAAGGCTTTCTACACATTTGTTCTTTGATATCCAAGAAAATTCAAGGTAAGTTGAGGTGCAAGTGTTATTTCGTTTTCAAATTTGATTTTTCGTTCAAAGTCGAATGAAATGGTACCTCTAGGTACGGTACTTCGGCACTACTATAGTTTGAATGATCATTTTTTGGCTCTACGTGTTATGATAATGCTATAGATATTGGATTTTAACGAAAATCCATCTACGTGCGATGGTATGAATCCAAGGTTCGAATTTTCTAATTTGATTACGAAATGCACCGATGATATCTATTGAGTTTCAAACTCATGGGTTAAATCCCTTCTTATAGGTTGATTTTGTTCTTCTGTTGAGGGCACGGATGATGGTGGTTGAAGATGCAATTTGACATGAAAAAGTCAGTGAATTAACAACTTTAAATTGATTATGAAATATTTGCATTTCCTATTAATTACTTTTCTATGGACATCGTATATGAAACTATTTCTACGAACATTTTCTTATGAATAGGTTATGTTTAAAAATATATATATGTGATCGAGAATTTACTTACGAAACACCGTCCTAAAAAAATAAAAAAATGTCAACTATTTAATGTTACTGTTTTCTTAGAAATTTCAGTTTTTGCTTAGACTTTAAAAATTCATAACTAATTTGTTACTTCAAATTTTTTAACAAAGCTAACGATGTTTGATAGCCTCATAAGTTAGCTACTGAATAAACTTAGAATCTTGTCAATCCAATGTCGGTAAAATTTTATATGACTTTAAGTAAACATAGTGTTGCTGTTTTCTGAAAATTCCAGTTTCTGCCATTGAACTTAAAAATTTATAACTCAATCGTTACTTGGGATTTTTGGACAAAATCAGTGGGATTTAATAACCTCATGGATTAGCTACTGAATAAACTCAAAATCATGTTAATCTAATATCTATAGAATTTTATATACCACCTTAAGTATACTGCGCTGGTTACTTCCCAAATCGAGTCACTGCGAGGTTTTGAAAAATATTTTAACATCCCATATGTCGCTGACGAAAGCTAAATTTTGGATATTTTATATTATGAGAAGTTCCCTACTTTCTCTTAAAGTTTCGTGAAGTTTTGACTTAGATTACTGTGTAAACGAGTTTACTTTAAAACTTACTGCGCAAAAGTGGGAAGTCAAACAACAACATTTATTTTTAAATTCTTGCCTAGAATTTCACGTAACAAAAATGTATTTAGGCATGGATGTCACCTGAAGACATTAGAAATTAGTTTCTTTTGTATTGAGTTATGTTCTCATTTATTGTTCTTTTAAAAAAAATTCTTAAATTAAATCTTTATAATTTCCTCTAAAAGTTTAGCTATTTGTTAAAGTTTATGGCTAAAAGTATGATTAATTTAGCGATGTTCTGGTCCTTGCGAGTCGGGGCGTTACATCCCCATATTTGGAATAGCTCATGATAATTCTGAATGGACTCCCAGCTTTGTCGTGACGTATGATGGATTTTGACATTTTGGATTCGTGTGGAAGAGCAGGCGCTTGGGTAAATGGAAGGCTTGGATTGTCGACGTTCGAAGAAATTGGCATAACTTTCTCATACGGTGTCCGTTTTGGGCCCATAACCTCATTTAGGAAAGCTCACGACGATTTTGAATGAACTTATAGCTTTGCCATGATGTATGATGGATTTTAGCAGTTTGAATTCATGTGGAAGAATAGGTGCTTGTTTACATGGAACACTTAGATTGTCGACGTTTGAAGAAATTGGCATAACTTTCGCATACGATGTCCATTTTTGGCCCATAACCCCCACATTTCAAAATTCTCACAGTGACTCTGAATGAACTCACAGCTTCACCATGATGTATGATTGATTTCAGAAGTTTGAATTTGAGTTGAAGAATAGGTGCTTGCATACATGGAACGCTTGGATTGTCGACGATCGAAGAAACTGGCATAACTTTCACATACGGTGTCTGTTTTGGGCCCATATCCATGTTTCGAAAAGGTCACGATGATTTTGAATGAACCCATAGCTTTACTATGATGTATTATGGATTTTAGAAGTTTGAATTCATGTAGAAGAACAGGGGCTTGCGTACATGGAACGCTAGGATAGTCGACATTCGAAGAAATTGGTATAATTTTCGTGTACCGTGTCCGTTTTGTGCCAATAACTACATTTCAAAAAGTCATGACGATTTTGATGGAATCATAGCTTTGTCGTGGCGTATGATAGATCTCAGTAGTTTGAATTCATGACGATTTTGATGGAATCATAGCTTTGTCGTGGCGTATGATAGATTTCAGTAGTTTGAATTAGTGTGGAAGACCAAGTGCTTGCGTACATGAAACCCTAGGATCGTCGACGCTCGAATAAATTGGCATAACTTTCGCATAAGGTGCCCATTTTTGGCCAATAACTCCCCACATTTGGGAAAGCTCGCAATGATTTTGAATGAACTCGTAGCTTTTCCATGACGTATGATGGATTTTGATAGTTTGAATTCGTGTGGAAGAACAGGCATTTGTGTACCTGGAACGCTTGGATTGTCGACGTTTGAAGAAATTGGGATAACTTTTGCATACAGTGTCCATTTTGGGCCCATAACCCCATTTCGAAAAGCTCACAACGATTCTGAATGAATTTATAGCTTTTCCATGATGTATGATGGATTTTGGCAGTTTGAGTTCGTGTGGAAGAATAGGCGCTTGCTTAACTGGAAAGCTTGGATTGTCTACGTTCAAAGAAATTGGCATAACTTTCACATACGGTATCCGTTTTGGGCTCATAACCCCATTTCAAAAAGCTCATGACGATTTCGAATGAATCACGACTTTGTTGTGGCATATGAAATGCTTGGATTGTCAATGCTCGAAGAAATTGACATAACTTTTGCATACAGTGTCCGTTTTTTACCCATAACTCCCTACCTTTCGAAAAGCTTGCAAAGATTATAAACGAACTCACAGCTATCCCATGACATATGATGGATTTTGGCAGTTTGAATTCATGTGGAAGAATAAGTGCTTGTGTACCTAGAATGCTTGGATTGTCGACGTTCGAAGAAATTGACATAATTTTCACATACAGTGTTAGTTTTGGGCACAAAACTCCATTTCAAAAAGCTCACGACAATTTTGTATGAACTTATAGCTTTTTCATGATGTATGATGGATTTTAATAGTTTGAATTTACATGGATGAGCAGGCACTTGCGTACTTGGAATGCCTAGATTGTCGTCTTTCGAAGAAATTGGCATAACTTTCGCATACAGTGTTCGTTTTGAACTCATAACTCCCCGTAATTCGAAAAGCTCATGACGATTCTGAATGAACTCACAGCTTCGTCGTGATGTATGATGGATTTTGACAGTTTGAATTCATGTGGAAGAATAGGCGCTAGCATTTACCGAACACTTGAATTGTCGACGTTCGAAGAAATTGACATAACTTTCGCATACGATGTCCATTTTGGGCCCATAACCCCAATGCAGAAAGTTCTCAAAAATTTCTAAATAAATCACACCATCATCATGGCATATTATAGATTTTCCTAGCTTGAATTCATGTGGAAGAATAGGCACTTGCCTATATGGAATGCTTGGATTGTTGACACTCGAAGAAATTGGCATAACTTTCGCATACGGTGTCCATTTTGGACCCATAACCCCATTTCGAAAAGCTCACGATGATTTTGAATGAACATATAGCATTTTCATGATGTATGATGGATTTTGACAGTTTGAATTCCAGTGGAAGAAAGGCACTTGTGTACATGGAATGCTTGGATTGTTGACATTCGAGGAAATTTGCATAACTTTCACATACGGTGTCCATTTTGGGCCCATAACCCCATTTTGAAAAGCTCATGATGATTCTGAATGAATCACAGCTTCACAGCGGTGTATGATAGATTTCAGCAATTTGAATAGGTGTAGAAGAATAGACGCTTGCGTCTATGGAACGCTTGGATTGTCGACGTTCGAAGAAATTGGCATAATTTTTGCATACGGTGTCCATTTTTTACCCATAACTCCACACATTTCGAAAAGCTTGCAATGATCCTGAATGAACTTGCAACTTTCCCATGACATATGATGGATTTTGGCAGTTTGAATTCGTGTGGAAGAATAGGCGCTTGTGTACATGGAACGCTTGGTTGTCGACGTTCGAAGAAATTGACATAACTTTTACATACGGTGTCCAATTTGGGTACATAACCCCATTTCGGAAAGCTCACAATGATTCTGAATGAATCATAGCTTCACCGTGGCATATGATAGATGTCAACAATTTGAATTCACATGGAAGAACAGGCGCTTGCGTACATGAAACACTTGGATTGTCGACGTTCGAAGAAATTGG